GTTTGCGCGGGCGCTGTTTGATGTGAGGGAGTTCAGGAGGGCGGCAAACGTGCTGGAGGGGGTTCAAGGGAGGCGAGCCCTGTTCCTGCGCTGCTATGCGCTCTACCTTGTGAGTGAGAGAGGGAGCACCACAAGCAGCACATACTCACTTAACCACCACCACTAACAATATTCTAGTCGACTCAATAATCGGCTAACTACCACCACCACTAACATCCACTCACCCACCAATCCACTCACCCACCAATCCACTCACCCACCAATCCACTCACCCACCAATCCACTCACCCACCAATCCACTCACCCACCAATCCACTCACCCACCAATCCACTCACCCACCAATCCACTCACCCACCAATCCACTCACCCACCAGTCCCTCTTCGTTACAGCTGTTCCTCACTCACAGCTACAGGCAGGGGAGAAGCGCAAGGAAGAGATCATTCTAAAGCCGTAAACCAACCAGCAGCAGACCCTCCCTTAAACCAACCAGCAGCAGACCCTCCCGTAAACCAACCAGCAGCAGCAGCACATACCCTTCCCTGCCCACCCATCACTCCCCTCCCTCCCCTATCAAACCCACCCCTGCAGGCAGGGGAGAAGCGCAAAGAAGAAATCATCCTAGAGACTTCATCTCAGCAGCAGACCCTCCCGGGAACCAACCAGCAGCAGCAACACCCACCCACCCACCCATCCCCCTCCTCCATTCTCACTGTGTTCCATTCCCCCTTATCCCTACAGGCAGGCGAGAAACGCAAGGAAGAAATCATTCTAGAAACCTCATCCCAGCAGCAGACCCTCCCGGGAACCAACCAGCAGCAGCAGTACCCGCCCGTACCCTGCTCTTCTTTTGAGGCGCCTCAAAAGTCTTGTGAGGCGCCTCAAAAACCAACCAGCAGCAGCAGTACCCGCCCGTACCCTACTCTTCTTTTGAGGCGCCTCAAAAGTTTTGTGAGGCGCCTCAAAAACCAACCAGCAGCAGCAGTACCCGCCCGTACCCTGCTCTTCTTTTGAGGCGCCTCAAAAGTCTTGTGAGGCGCCTCAAAAACCAACCAGCAGCAGCAGTACCCGCCCGTACCCTGCTCTTCTTTTGAGGCGCCTCAAAAGTCTTGTGAGGCGCCTCAAAAACCAACCAGCAGCAGCAGTACCCGCCCGTACCCTGCTCTTCTTTTGAGGCGCCTCAAAAGTCTTTTGAGGCGCCTCATAAACCAACCAGCAGCAGCAGTACCCGCCCGTACCCTGCTCTTCTTTTGAGGCGCCTCAAAAGTCTTTTGAGGCGCCTCAAAAACCAACCAGCAGCAGCAGTACCCGCCCGTACCCTGCTCTTCTTTTGAGGCGCCTCAAAAGTCTTTTGAGGCGCCTCAAAAACCAACCAGCAGCAGCAGTACCCGCCCGTACCCTGCTCTTCTTTTGAGGCGCCTCAAAAACCAACCAGCAGCAGCAGTACCCGCCCGTACCCTGCTCTTCTTTTGAGGCTGTCACCAAATATAATGGTAAGAGCATCATATTGGAGACATGTGCTAATTAGGTGTAGAAGTGGTGTAGCGAGTGTTATTCAATCTGCATGTGGGGTAGTTGGGTTATAGAGAGTAGCGAGAAGTTGGGTAGCATCGGGGGTTACAGGGCGCGTCGGGGACAATTTCAGGAACCTCGGGAGACAGGCAATCTGGCGAGGGCCACTCCAAGGCCTAGGCGGCTCGAGCTCAACCCAGCACGCTGAGTTACTCGCGACTGGGCAGCCAAGCACAAATAGCCTAGCCTAGCATAGCAAACCTGTTCTCTCGTCTTGTTTGCCTCATATAGTGGATAACGTTACCGCAACAAGGCTACGCTAGCTAGGTGACTAAGCCACTGTGGGCAGCCATCTTGTGGGAGAGTAAACTTCTCACAAGACGAGAGAAACAGATAGGCAGTATGGACTGCCATGAGCTGCGGTGGCAGCGGACGTACTCGCAGCGGGAGATACCGCCGTCGCGAAGGATGCGCTCAAAGGAGCGGGGAAGTTCGCCAGGTCGCTCGCCTAGCAGAGAGGCGGATCGGGCGGATTGGAAGGCGACCAGTGACGGACTGCACGGTGAAGGCGAGCTCGGTCTGCAGATGAGATCGGCGCCAGGACCCCAGCCGTCGAGGAGCGATCCCTGGGATCTGGCAAGAGGCCAGCGGGGCGCGGGAGTAAGGCGTCAGGAGGATGCCGATGAGACGGACTCGCTGATGTTGGCGAAGGAGGCGGACGGCGAGAAGTTGGCGGAGGGTGATCCCATGGACGAGGAAGAAGATCACTCACCGGGCGACATGCGCAAGGCAGGCGAGAGGCGTCGTGGAGAAAAACGTGAAGAACGCGGAGAGGCGACGGGATTAAATCGCTCGACAGACGAAGTGTGTGGGAGTGGTGCAAGGCGACGCGGGAGCGCAGAGGCAGATGGCGCGACCAACGGAATGGGTGGGGGCGGCGCGAAATGCCAGGGGAATCGCGCGGAGGCAGATCGCGCGCCAGAGGAGGTGCGCGGGAGTCAAGCGAGGCGCCAGGGGAATCGCGCGGATGCAGATCGCGCGCCAGAGGAGGTGCGCGGGAGTCAAGCGAGGCGCCAGGGGAATCGCGCGGATGCAGATCGCGCGCCAGAGGAGGTGCGCGGGAGTCAAGCGAGGCGCCAGGGGAATCGCGCGGATGCAGATCGCGCGCCAGAGGAGGTGCGCGGGAGTCAAGCGAGGCGCCAGGGGAATCGCGCGGATGCAGATCGCGCGCCAGAGGAGGTGCGCGGGAGTCAAGAGAGGCGCCAGGGGAATCGCGCGGATGCAGATCGCGCGCCAGAGGAGGTGTGCGGGAAGGAAGCGAGGCGCGAGGGGAATCGCGCGGAGGCAGAACGCGCGCCAGAGGAGGTGCGCGGGAGTGAAGCGATGCGCAGCAGGAGCAAAGCAGCTGAGCCCTGGTCAAGGGAGCGAGGGGAGGAGGAGAAGAGGCGTGCTGCACCAGCAGGAGTGTATCGTTCGCCCGAGCCAGGACAAGGCCGTGCGGGCAGGAGGCGTATGGCGATGGGAGAAGGGAGATCGCTGGAATGGTCAGAAGAGGAGGAGGACGAGGATTACGAAGGAAAGCGCGTTCAGCACTCGCCAGCAAGGAGGCGGCGGCCAGCGGAGAAGGCGCAAGGCAGGGGTAGCATACGATCGCCACCCAGCGCCTCAAGGGAACAGGCGGGAGCGCGCCGTGAGAAAGTAGAAGAACACCTGTGGGCAGAGAGAAGGGCTGCAAAGGAAACAAGCAAAGAAGCAAGAAGGTGGCCCGAGAGAGAGAGCCGTGAGAGGAGGGGCGAAGGAGAGCGATACCAAGGGGGTGAAGAGGCAGGAAGAAAAAGGGAAAGGGGGAAACGGGACCAGGAACGCCGAGGCTGGGAAGAGTGTGGAGATTATGAGGAAAGAGACAGGTGGGACTCACCGGAAAGAGGAAGGGAGTGGAGGCGCGAGGAGGACTGGCGAGGCAAGAGAGAAGGTGTGCGGACACCAGAAGTCTCGAGGGCAGCAGAGAAGGAGCGACAGCGAGAGGACAGAGGGCGACGGTACCAGGAGCGGTCCCCTGCAAGGGGAGAGAAGCGTTGGGAAGATGCAGAGAGGCGCTGGGAGGAGCGTGAAGATGCGCGAGGGAGGAGCACTAGCCCGATGGGCCCGAGGAGGCCGGGGCGTCACGGCGAAGGATCTGCGGGAGCAAGAGCGGCTAGGGAAGGATTAGAGCGAGTGCTGTACGGAACCAGCACACGCAGCAGGGGAGAACAGGAGAGGAGGAGAGGGGTTATGGTGTCTGAGCGAGGAGGGACGGAGAGCTGGGAAACAGGGAAGTGGGGCGCAACAGCACAGCCGCGAGTGGAGGTGCCAGTACGCTTCACGGGAAACGAGAAAACCGGCCCAAGTCTGAAAAATTACTTGATGCAGATCAGCAGTGTTAAATACCGATGCGACAGAAGCGGGATGGACCCGATCGAGTTCTTCCTGAGCCTGCCAAGCACGTTGGGAGGAGAAGCAGAGACTCTGTATCGCATGAAGATTGGTGAATGGCTGAGGAGGGCAGAAGAGGATGACGAGGACCCAACGGTACTGTTCCTGGAGCGCCTAAGAAAGCAGTTCCCTGGGCATACGGCAGTGCGCATTCGGGAATTTCAGGAGTTTAGGCAAAGGGATGAGGAGTCACTGCTGACATACTACGGACGGTTAACGAACCTGGCGGAAGATGTGGTGTGCACGGACAGCAGCATGATCATTAGCAAGTTTCTGAACGGTTTAGACAAGGGATTGGCAGGAGGGTTGAGAATGAGAGTCTATGAGCTAGGAGCAGATGCAACACCAGAAGAGGTGTTCGAGTTAGCGGAGCGGGTGGAGCTCGCGCAGAGGAAGTACGAGGTATACCTGCCAAGGACGATAGAGAAGAAGAGTCCTACCTGGGCAGCGGCGATGATACCAGGGGAGGGAACAGGAGAAGAGAGCAGGCTGGAGAAAAGGACAGAGACACGCACTTGTTACCGCTGTGGGCAGCCGGGGCACATAAGGATGCACTGCAGGAACTGCGATGTATTTGGGAAGCCAGGGCACCGCCGAAGGGACTGTCCGGAGGCACCGACATGTAAAGAGTGTGGGGAAAGGGGGCATGAGGCAAGGGACTGCGATAAAGGGACAGGCGGAAGGAAAGGGTCAACAGAGGAGATTGAGAGCCAGATAAGGAAATTGCGGGCGGAGTTGCAGGCCCTGGGAGGAAGTAAGGAGAAGGAGGCTGGGTTGTACGTGAGGGAAGAAGGAGCAGAAGAGGAGGAGGGGCAGGAGCCAGAGTACACATGCCTGGCGTTACGTAGCCATGAGGAACTGGGTCTGCGCAGTGGGGGCAGAGACGGAAGGAAAGGGCGGGCGCTCAGAGAAAGAACAGAGGGGCAGGTGGGGTTGTATGTAAGGAAGGAAGAGGAGGAAGAGGAAAAGGAGCAGGAGCCAGAATATGCCGGTGCAGTGCTTCGTAGCAGTGCAGTCATGGGGCTGCGCAGTGGGGGCAGGGACGGAGGAAGGGAGCAAGCAACGAAGGTGAGGGCATGGGCAGTGGCAGGAGAGGAGGAGAAGGATGAGAAGGTGAGGGAATGGGCAGTGGCAGAAGGGGAAGAGAAGGACGAGAAGGAGAAGGCGGGAGGGTGTGAATTTGTAGCAGCAGACACTGAAGGGAAGAATGAGCAGGTGAGGGAATGGGCATTGGCAGAAGGGGAAGAGAAGGACGAGAAGGAGGAGGCGGGAGTGTGCGAATTAGTAGCAGCAGGCACTGAAGGGATGAATGAAAAGGTGAAGGAATGGGCAGCCACAGAAGGGGAAGGGAAGAATGCGAGGGAGGGGACCTGGGCGTGCGTACCAGCAGCCGCGGAAGCAGAAGAGAAGGACGAGCAGGTGGGGGCAGGAGTGAGCGAAATTGCAGCAGGAGAAGTAGAAGAGAGGGACGTAGAGGCGGGGGCAAGGCCGTGTGTACCAGCGACAGCAGATGCGGAAGGGAAGGGCGAGAAGGGGGGAGCGGTGAAGAAAGGAGGGAAGAAGGAGCTGAGCAGTACAGACATGGGAGGGAGTGGTTGGCAGCCAGCGCTAAGGACAGCGGAGTTGTTCGGGGAAATCAGGGCAGGGGCAAAGACTGGCGTGACAATGAAGGATCGGATGCAAGCAGAGGAGCAAGCGCAGGGAAACAAGCTGGCGGAGCAGCATGTGAGTAAGCTGCGGGAAGGAAGGCCAGAGCTGCTGGGGGGAGCAGAGCAGGAGAGTGAGGAAGTGGGGGCAGGGGAGCCCCTAGCAACAGGGGAAAAGGCAGACCATGCAATGGAAGAAGCGGAGAACCGGGCGGCATGGGAGCAAGCTAAGGCAGCGGAACACTTGGAGGAGGTGATACCGGTATCGGTGGAGGACCTACATACCGTGCAGTTGAGGGATGCGTGCAGCCGTGAGCAGTGGCAGCAGCAGGAAGGCAAGGGGATAAGGGCGGCTAGAGAGGTGGGACGGGAAGAGAGGGGCAAAGAAGGATACACTAGCTGTGGAATAGGGAAGAGTGAAGGGGAGGGCGCGAGCAGTGCGAGGCGTGGGAGTGCTAGTGTTGGAGAAGAAGAAGGGAGAACAGACCGGGGACCACCAGACCTGCACGGCAGGACTGAAGAGCAGCCGTCCTCAGCTGAGAGTCATGTGACTCGCGCCCGAGCAGCTCGAGCACGAGCACAGGAGGGGGCAGGTAGTGGCTGAGAACGCAGAAGGGAACAGGGTGACAGGAGTGGGAACAGCACAAGGTGGGGAAAGGCGAGAATAAGAAGGAAGGGAAGAAGGTGAGGACACAAGGCAGGGAAGAAGGTGAGGACACAAGGCAGGGAAGAAGGTGAGGACACAAGGCAGGGAAGAAGGTGAGGACACAAGGCAGGGAAGAAGGTGAGGACACAAGGCAGGGAAGAAGGTGAGGACACAAGGCAGGGAAGAAGGTGAGGACACAAGGCAGGGAAGAAGGTGAGGACACAAGGCAGGGAAGAAGGTGAGGACACAAGGCAGGGAAGAAGGTGAGGACACAAGGCAGGGAAGAAGGTGAGGACACAAGGCAGGGAAGAAGGTGAGGACACAAGGCAGGGAAGAAGGTGAGGACACAAGGCAGGGAAGAAGGTGAGGACACAAGGCAGGGAAGAAGGTGAGGACACAAGGCAGGGAAGAAGGTGAGGACACAAGGCAGGGAAGAAGGTGAGGACACAAGGCAGGGAAGAAGGTGAGGACACAAGGCAGGGAAGAAGGTGAGGACACAAGGCAGGGAAGAAGGTGAGGACACAAGGCAGGGAAGAAGGTGAGGACACAAGGCAGGGAAGAAGGTGAGGACACAAGGCAGGGAAGAAGGTGAGGACACAAGGCAGGGAAGAAGGTGAGGACACAAGGCAGGGAAGAAGGTGAGGACACAAGGCAGGGAAGAAGGTGAGGACACAAGGCAGGGAAGAAGGTGAGGACACAAGGCAGGGAAGAAGGTGAGGACACAAGGCAGGGAAGAAGGTGAGGACACAAGGCAGGGAAGAAGGTGAGGACACAAGGCAGGGAAGAAGGTGAGGACACAAGGCAGGGAAGAAGGTGAGGACACAAGGCAGGGAAGAGGCAGGGGCAAGGGAGGAGTGAGGAAGGAGAAGGGAAGAACTCCGACAAGGCGCCTCAAAAGTCTTGTGAGGCGCCTCAAAAACCAACCAGCAGCAGCAGTACCCGCCCGTACCCTGCTCTTCTTTTGAGGCGCCTCAAAAACCAACCAGCAGCAGCAGTACCCGCCCGTTCCCTGTTCTTCCATCATTTCCCTCCTTCCCTCATCATTCCCCCCCCCCTCCCCTCACCCCCCCCTTTTCAGGCAGGGGAGAAACGCAAGGAAGAAATCATTCTAGAAACCTCATCCCAGCAGCAAACTCTCCCGGGAACCAACCAGCAGCAGCAGCCCATACCCTTCCCTGCCCACCCCACCTCCTCCTCCCCGGACAACCCCGCGTCTCCTGTGGCCAATCCTGAGCTGCCACGTGTCCAGGCTGAGCTGGAGCGGGAGCGGGCGGCAGGAAGGCTGGATGCGTGGGGGAGGTATCTGCTGGGAGTGGTGTTGTCGCAGAGGGGGAGAGAGGGGGAGGCGCGGGTGGCTCTGTGTGAGAGTGTGCGGGAATACCCTTGGAACTGGGCTGCGTGGCAGCAAATAGAGGTGAGGGTATACCCTTGAAGTGAGTGTGAGGGAGGGTGCGTGGGAGAGTGCGTGGGAGAGTGCGTGGGAGAGTGCGTGGGAGAGTGCGTGGGAGAGTGCGTGGGAGAGTTTGAGGGAGTTTCCTTGGATTTGGGCTGCATGGCAGCAGATAGAGGTGAGCGAGTAGTATCCCTGGGAGGGACTTTGTGGCCAATCACAAGGCAGGCTGGATGCGTGGGGGAGGTATCTGGTGGGGGTAGTGTTGGCGCAGAGGGGGAGAGAGGGGGAGGCGCGGGGGTTGCTGTGTGAGAGTGTGCGGGAGTGCCCTTGGAATGGAACTGGGCTGCATGGCAGCAGATGAGGAGAGAGAGGGTGGCAGGCACGCTGACAAACGCACACAATCACGTGCAGTGAAGGAGAGTGAGGAAGAGGGGGAGGGGGTTGCTGTGCAAGAGTGTGAGGGAGTACCCTTGGAACTGGGCTGCATGGCAGCAGATAGAGGTGAGCGAAGAGTATTTCTGGAAGTGAGAGTGTGGAAGGGTATGAGATGGAGGGGAGGGGGGTTGGTGTGTGAGAGTGTCAGGGAGTGTGCGGGAGTACCCTTGGAATCTGGCTGCATGGCAGCAGATAGAGGTGAGAGATTAGTATCCCTGGGATTGAGTGTATGTGGGGAAGAGTGTGAGGGAGTGTGTGAGAGTGTGAAGGAGTGTGAGTGTGAAGGAGTGTGTGAGAGTGTGAAGGAGTGTGAGTGTGAAGGAGTGTGTGAGAGTGTGAAGAGGTCCCTTGGGACTTAACCATGTGATAGAGGTGAAGTTTTGAGGTAGGTCCTGAGAAAGATTTTGAGGTGGAATCTTCTACTCTCCATCCCACGCTCTCCTTCCCACTGGATGGGTCTCTTCGCCCTCCCCTCCTCCGATCCGATGTTTCTCCCCCACCCCCCACCCTTCCCTCTCCCCGCTCCTGCCCCACTTTCCGCTCCAGGCCCTCTGTCTCGACCAAGACACCTATCTCTCCCTCCTCCCATCCCTCCCTTGCCACTGGATGACTCTCTTTGTCTCCTCTCTCCTCCTCTCCCTCCACCGCAACTCCGAAGCCCTCTCCCTCTGTCTGCACCTCGCCTCGTGAGGCGCCGCAAAAGTCTTCTGCCTGCACCTTGCCTCCCTTTTCTTCTCACTCTTGAATCCCCTTTTCGCTGTCAACTCAGCTGCCCCTCCACCAACCTTCTTTCGCCCTCTCCCACACACACCCCCCTCCAGGCCCTCTGTCTCGACCATGACACCTACCTATCCCTCCTCCCCTCCCTCCCTTGCCATTGGATGACCCTCTTCGCCCTTTCCTTCCTCCTCCGATATTCTCCCCCCCAACTCCTTCCCTCCCCTCCCCTTCCCACCCACACACCCATTTCCAGGCCCTCTGTCTCGACCACCACACCTACCTCTCGCTCCTCCCCTCCCTCCCTGCCCACTGGATGACTCTATTCGCCCTCTCCTCCCTCCTGTGTTCCTCCCCTCTCGTCCCCCCTACATGTCTCCCTTTCAGGCTCTCTGTCTCGACCATGACACCTACCTCTCACTCAAGGAACACCACTTAGTGGTGGGAGACATTACGAGGCTGCGGCCTCTGTCTCGACCATGACACCTACCTCTCGCTCCTCCCCTCCCTTCCCTTCACTGGATGACTCTTTTCGCCCTCTCCTCTCTCCTCCACTATTCTCCCCCCAACCCCTTCCCTCTCTTCCCTTCTCACCCACTCTCCCCTCCCCTCCAGGCCCTCTGTCTCGACCACGACACCTACCTCTCGCTCCTCCCCTCCCTCCCTGCCCACTGGATGACTCTATTCGCCCTCTCCTCCCTCCTCCTCTCCCTCCACCGCAACTCCGAAGCCCTCTCCCTCTGCCTGCACCTCGCCTCCCCCCCTTCCTCCTCCTCCTCCGCCTCCTCCTCCTTCTCTCACTCCCTCTCTCACTCATCGCAGCAAGCAGAGGGGGAGCAGGGGGAAAGGAGGCGAATGGCGGATGGGGAAGGAGGGGGAACTGCAGCAGCAGCAGCAGCAGCAGCAGCAGGGGGAGCAGGAGAGACAACAACAGGAGGAACTGGCAAAGCGGCGGGGAAAGGAGGGGGCTTTCCACAGAGCACGTGGGTGGCAGCAGCAACAGCAACGGCGCACTACAACCTGAGGGACTTTGACTCGGCAGAGGCTGTGTTCGCAGAGTTGACTGGCGTTGACCCGTACAGACTAGAGGCCATGGACACGTTTTCAAATATTCTCTACGTGAAGGAGGACTTTGCTGGGCTCTCCCACCTGGCGCACCGGGTAAGTTGACTGGCGTTGACTTGAGTTGACCTGCACATGGGTGAAGGGGGGGTTTTCCTCACAGCACATGTGAGTTGACCAGAGTTGACCGGTGTTGACTGGTCAACCCCATTAAGGGTCGACAAGTACCGCCCTAAAACAGGCCGCATAGTGGGAAGGAAACCAACTCTCCCTAAAAGCATTGCTGTGGTCTTTTCCTCTCCACGTCTTTTGCAACTCTTAGAATTGCTGCTCTTCCATTATAAGCATAGATCCTTTTGAGGCGCCTCAACTCTCCCTAAAAGCATTGCTGTGGTCGTTTCCTCTCCACGTCTCCCTTGTTTTTGCCACTCCAGGTCACTAAAATCGACAAGTACCGGCCAGAGACGTGTTGCATCGTTGGAAACTACTTCTCCCTCAAGGGCCGCCACGAGCGTGCAGTGGCCTACTTCCATTCCACCGAGCCCTCCGCCTCGACCGCTGCTACCTCTCCGCGTGGACGCTGCCTCTTGCCATCAGGGTTTTCTTACATGTGTACCTTATTCCTTCCCCATGGCTTTCGCGCACTGCCTCCACCTTCCCTCAGGTCACTAAAATCGATAAATACCGCCCGGAGACGTGCTGCATCGTCGGAAACTATTTCTCCCTAAAGGGCCGCCACGAGCGAGCCGTAGCCTACTTCCGCCGAGCCCTCCGCCTCGACCGCTGCTACCTCTCCGCATGGACGCTGCCTCTTGCCGCATGGGTCTATGGGTCCTCTGCCTTATGGGTTTCGTGGTGTGCCCTCCTTCCCTCTTCCCCATGGCTTTCACACCCTCCCTCCTCTTTCCCCCCATGTCAGGTGACAAAAATTGACAAGTACCGGCCAGAGACGTGCTGCATCGTCGGAAACTATTTCTCCCTAAAGGGCCGCCACGAGCGAGCCGTGGCCTACTTCCGCCGAGCCCTCCGCCTCGACCGCTGCTACCTGTCAGCGTGGACGCTGATGGGGCACGAGTATGTGGAGATGAAGAACAGTGCCGGGGCGATTCAAGCGTACAGGCGGGCGGTGGATATCAACCCGAGGGATTATAGGGCGTGGTACGGGCTCGGGCAGACGTATGAGATTCTCGCCATGCCCTACTACGCCCTCTACTACTACCGGTGAGTGACAGTGTTTGCTTTGGGGTTTGGGGTTTCAGGTGTGAGGTTGAGGGTTTCGCCATGCCGTACTACTACGCCCTCTATAACTACTGGTGAGTGCCCTCTATTCGGGGCTTAAGTTGAAGGTTTAGGGGTTAAGGTTTCGGGTTTTGGCATCAGGGGAAGGTTCAAATGCTGCTACCTGTCAGCGTGGACGCTGATGGGGCACGAGTATGTGGAGATGAAGAACAGTGCCGGGGCGATCCAGGCTTACAGGAGGGCGGTCGATTTTAATCCGAGGGATTATCGCACATGGTACGGGCTCGGGCAGACGTATGAGATTCTTGCGATGCCCTACTACGCCCTCTACTACTACTGGTGAGTCTCTGATTTAGGGTTTGGGGTTTTCGTGTATGCTCGGGCAGACGTATGCGATTCTTTGCGCCAGCATGACTCGCGCATGTGGTGTGCCATGGGGCAGTGCTACTACGAGGCGCAGCAGCTGCAGCAGCCAGCAGCCGTCATCCACTGCTACCGCCCACTCTAACTCTCTCCTTCCTTCCTGTCTTTGTATGCCTAACAGGAAGGCGGCCTCTCTACGACCCCACGACTTGCGCATGTGGTGTGCCATGGGGCAGTGCTGCTACGAGGCCCAGCAGCTGCAGCAGCCATCAGCCGTCATCCACTGCTACCCCCACTCTCCCTTCCTTTATGCGTGTTTCTCTCCAACCACAGGAAGGCGGCCTCTCTCCGCCCGCATGACTCGCGCATGTGGTGTGCCATGGGGCAGTGCTACGAGGCCCAGCAGCTGCAGCAGCCAGAAGCAGCCATCCGCTGCTACCATCATCCACTCTCTCTCCTCCTGTCCATGTTTTTCCCACCTGTCCCTTGTCTTATGATCTTATCCCCAACAGTAAAGCAGCCTCCCTGCGCCCCCACGACTCACGCATGTGGTGTGCCATGGGGCAGTGCTACGAGGCACAGCAGCTGCAGCAGCCGGAAGCCGCCATCCGCTGCTACCGCCGTGCCGTCGCCAGCAACGAGAGCGAGGGCCTGGCACTGCACAAGCTGTCAAAGCTGTATGAGGGGCTGGGGCAGATGAGGCAAGCTGCTCATTTCTACAAGTGAGTCTCTAAGTGAGGGTGGGTGCTCATATAACACGAAATGAGTGTTGTTGTCGCCAGCAATGAGAGCGAGGGGCTAGCTCTGCACAAGCTGTCGAAGCTGTATGAGGGGCTGGGGCAGATGAGACAGGCGGCACACTTCTACAAGTGAGTCTTTCAGCGTGAGGGAACGCGCGAATCGGGCTCAGAATGATGTGTGAACCATGTGTGGTAGTGGGACTTGGAAGCGAGGGGCTGGCGCTGCACAAGCTGTTGGCCATCCACTGCTACCGCTTGTGAGTCTTTACGTGAGGGAAGGCGCAAATCGGGCGCAGCATGATGTATGAACCATGTGTGGTTGTGAGAGTTGAGAGTGAGGGGCTGGCACTGCACAAGCTGTCGGCCATCCGCTGCTACCGCCGTGCCGTCGCCAGCAATGAGAGCGAGGGGCTAGCTCTGCACAAGCTGTCAAAGCTGTATGAGGGGCTGGGGCAGATGAGACAGGCGGCACACTTCTACAAGTGAGTATGAAAGGGCAGACAGGTGCACAAGTAAATGAGTCGGAAGGCCTGGCGCTGCACGTGCTGTCAAACCCGTAGGAGGGGCTGGGGCAGATGAGGCAGGCGGCTAATTTTCACGAGTGTGAAGGAGGGGAAAGACACCAAGTGAACTTAGTTTCACATTATTGAATCTATCTGTGTGCTCCCCTCCCTGCAGGCCCAATTTGGACCGAATGGACTCTTAGCAAGACGAGGGGCCGGAGCTAGTGGAGGCGCTGCTATTCCTGGCCACACATTATCGACTCTTTCCCCATCTCTTACCCCCAACTGTGTGCTCCCCTTTTCCAGGCGCAATCTGGACCGAATGGACTCGGAGCAGGTGGAGGCGCTGCTCTTCCTGGCCACACACCATCAGCTTTCACCTATTGGTGTGTCCACTGCTGGTTTCCTCTGTGTGTTCTCCACTCTCCACTCCCACATCCCAGGCGCAATCTGGACCGAATGGACTCGGAGCAGGTGGAGGAGCCGGAGCTAGTGGAGGCGCTGCTATTCCTGGCCACACATTATCGACTCTTTCCCCATCTCTTACCCCCAACTGTGTGCTCCCCTTTTCCAGGCGCAATCTGGACCGAATGGACTCGGAGCAGGTGGAGGCGCTGCTCTTCCTGGCCACACACCATCAGCTTTCACCTATTGGTGTGTCCACTGCTGGTTTCCTCTGTGTGTTCTCCACTCTCCACTCCCACATCCCAGGCGCAATCTGGACCGAATGGACTCGGAGCAGGTGGAGGAGCCGGAGCTAGTTGAGGTGCTGCTCTTCCTGGCCACACATTATCGACTCCTACCCCATCTCTTACCCCCAACTGTGTGCTCCCCTTTTCCAGGCGCAATCTGGACCGAATGGACTCGGAGCAGGTGGAGGCGCTGCTCTTCCTGGCCACACACCATCAGCTTTCACCTATTGGTGTGTCCACTGCTGGTTTCCTCTGTGTGTTCTCCACTCTCCACTCCCACATCCCAGGCGCAATCTGGACCGAATGGACTCAGAGCAGGTGGAGGGGTCGGAGCTAGTTGAGGCGCTGCTCTTCCTGGCCACACACCACCCCCTTTCGCCTATCAGTGTACCATCCACTGTCCTCCGCTGTTCGCCCTCTGTCTGCAGGCGCAATCTGGATCGAATGGACTCGGAGCAGGTGGAGGGGCCGGAGCTAGTTGAGGCGCTGCTCTTCCTGGCCACACACCACCGCTCTGAAGGAAGTCTTGCGGAGGCAGAACGATACTCCACGCGTCTCCTCGACTTCGGTGGACCGGTGAGTCAAACTCTTGCAAGCTTCGAGTAGATAGCATACAGTCAGGGCTGGTGAGGCGCTGCTCTTCCTGGCCACACACCACCGCTCCAAGGGCAGTGTTGCAGAGGAGGAGCGATATTCCACTCGCCTGCTCAACTTCGGTGGCCCCGTGAGTTGAATATTGACCGGATTGGAATGGAATGGATAGCATGCTGCACTACTTAGCCAGTGGAAGGGCTGGAGCTGGTAGAAGCTCTGCTCTTCCTGGCCACACAAATTGCTCCAAGGGAAGTTTGGTGGAGGCGGAGCGATATTCCATCCGCTTGCTTGGTGAGATGAATTGGGCAGCGCTTGATAACTTGCCATTCCATCCGCTTGCTTGGTGAGATGAATTGGGCAGCGCTTGATAACTTGCCATTCCATCCGCTTGCTTGGTGAGATGAATTGGGCAGCGCTTGATAACTTGCCATTCCATCCGCTTGCTTGGTGAGATGAATTGGGCAGCGCTTGATAACTTGCCATTCCATCCGCTTGATGAGTTGGTGGCTCTTCCTCCCCACACACTGCTGCCCCGACGCCAGTTTACGATGTGGTTTACCATGCTTACGGTTCTCTTGGGCCTTGATCGCAGGCGAAGGAGGATGCCAAGGCTCTACTACGGGAGCTTCGGAGCGTGCACCAGCACGAGCATCAGCACCGCCCGCATGGCATGGGGCCATTGTCGTCCTTGGGATTGGAGAGTGGGGGTGAGGATGAGGATGGGAATGGTGATAGTGATGATGACGAAGATATGGACTTTGAGGGTAGTTTCTAGCCATATTTAGAAGATTTTATTCCACGGATTTGATTTGATTTGATGGTGTGCAGAGTATAGGAACATGAAGTAGTACCACTGGTTTGTGAAACAAAGCAAAATATCGCTTCATCTGTTAGCAAACAGGTGTTGTGGATCCCTGCAAGGTTGAAACTTATAGTGCATTGGAATTTCCCAATTTACAGGTCTGCTCTGCATGTCTTAGACAACCCATTTGAGGTTTGAGAGGCTTTCACGTCCTCTATTGATTTGTTTGGTTTCATGTTACTCCCTGTGTAAGGATTTACAAATCCTTACTGAGGCACTCGTTAGCGAGGCCATCCCGAGGGTCACGCGACGAACCTGACCTTCCTATTTCGTCGCACCGAACCACTCCCGAGTCGGCCTCCGCTCCAATCGCAACCATCACCGAGCCATCCCATCCCGAACCCCCCGCCTAGCTAGGTTTTCCCCTATTTAGGCCTCGCTACTTCATTGTTGCGAAATTCAGTAATTCAGTACTCAATCATTCTCGATATTCCTTTTATTGCGCACTCTGCAAGTTGATTCATAACACCTGGTATCAGAGCTACTTTCCTAGCTCACCCCGCTTTTTAGAGTGTATACCCCTCGGGGGGGGGGGGGGACGAGGAGGGATGTCTTGGGGTCCAGGAGTTGCGTAGGCCGGCCAGGAGAACGCGTTAGTTGCTCCTCGCGGCCATAGTTTTACAGGTACTCCTTCGGCACCGCCAGATCCTTGCCCCGAACGGTCGCGATCGACCGTGGCCTCCCTCCCCCCCGGGCAACGGACAGCTGTAGCTGTCGCGACATTAAAAGTGAGTTACTATTCCGCTGCGGTTTTAACGACGGTTTCGGAATTTTGTGAGGCAGTTGGCGTCAGCGGACCTGCGTCGGCACCTGCACGAAATTTTCGGAGGTCGTCACGATGAGTGGCAGTTGACGACGTTGGACCTGAGTCAACAGTTGCGCGACAAACTTCGGAGTCGTCTCATGCGGCAAGTGACAACGGTTGCTCGTCGTCATTTTGCGCGCGTGACTCACGGAGTGTGGCTCGGCAGCTGGCGACAACGGACGTGCGTCACTGTGGCGATATTTTCGGAGCTACTGTGAAGAAATGTCGGCTGGGGAACTCGCCAGGCGCAAAAGGAGTTTGCGTCCGAAAATGTCGGTGGCGAGGAGAGACGACACAAGACTGCCCGACTTAGCGGGAGTCAATAGCCGTCCCGCCCGACCTGTTAAGTGCGGCGGCTTTTACTGCATTGGCGGGCGCGTCATCAGCAATTTCGGCAGGAGTGCTTGTGGACAGACGAGACTTCATACCGCTGACACTTACGGGCTGCAACGGAAAACGCGGTGGCTAAATCGCACTTACGGGAAGTGGGACGCAGGCGACGAGGGAAATCGGGGCAGGTACACCTCGAATCAACTCGGCGACACTGCGTGCCTGGTGTTGTTGCAAGCTGGCCGGCAGTATCGAGAGCGGTTTCTCCTGACCAGGGAATTCGTTTTCGGGGACAGCTGCTGACAGCCCACGATTAAACGGTGTCCAAGGTACCGCCCGACAATTTCGGAGGAGTCGGTACAGGCTGCCGGGACACACGGGCAGAAACGGTCCAACGGCTAAGCGAGGGTTGAAGAACGTCGTGGGGAGCAGATTAAAAGCCGGAGGAATCGATCTGCGGCCCTACTTCGCCCGAACCTTACCATCCCCACCAAGTCTTAGTTCTGACTCATGCAGTCAACTTACTTGGCCGAATAACGGGGGTGAAGACGTGCCTACTGTCAGATTATTATAGCTGATACATGTTTGTAGGCTATAGTGGGGTAGCACATATGGGGTACAGCTTTCTAGGGTTGTATTTGTACCCAACACTGGCTTAGTCATTTCCATTCTGATCATTTATTCTCACATGGTATAGAGCGAGTTCCCTGTGGGAACGTTGCCTAGGGCCCACCGAAGCGCGCCCCGAGGCGCGCATTTTTTTTAGCGACCCCTCGAGTCGCCCTTTCCCTCGTGGCCCTGCCGTCCCTCAGACGCGGCCCCGCCACCCCTTCTGATCGCGGCCCCGCCACCCGATCCCGGCCCCGCCGCCACGTCGCGGCCCCGCCGCCCGATCGCGGCCCCGCCGCCCGCTACGACGCGGCCCCGCCGCCTGCTCTGACGCGGCCCCGCCGCCACCTCTTACGCGGCCCCGCCGCCACCTCTGACGCGGCCCCGCTGCCTGATCTGACGCGGCCCCGCCGCCACCTCTGACGCGGCCCCGCCGCCGCCTCTGACGCGGCCCCGCCGCCGCCTCTGACGCGGCCCCGCCGCCCGCTACGACGCGGCCCCGCCGCCTGAACTGACGCGGCCCCGCCGCCGCCTCTGACGCGGCCCCGCCGCCTGCTCTGACGCGGCCCCGCCGCCCACTACGACGCGGCCCAGCCGCCGACTACGCCGCCGGCCCCGCCGCCTGCTCAGCCGCGGCTCCGCCGCCCTCTCTGCCGGCTCCGCCGCTCCACCAGCCGCGGCCCCGCCGTCCCCGCCGCTGCACCTGCCGGCCCTGCTACTTCGGCCCCGCTGCCCCTGATCTCGCGGCCCCGCCACCCTACCTGCAGCAGCCGAGCCGCCCACCTGCAGCAGCCGAGCAGCAGTGCAGCCGAGCCGCCCCGCACCCGAGCCGCCCGACCGCCGAGCCGCCCGGGAGCCGAGCCGCCCTACACCCGAGCCGCCCTGCCGCCGAGCCGCCCGGCAGCCGAGCTGCCCTGAACCAGAGCCGCCCTGTCGCCGAGCCGCCCGGGAGCCGAGCCGCCCAGCAGCCGAGTCGCTGAGTCGCCGAGCCGCCCTTCTGCAGAGTTGTCCGGCCTGCCCTGCCTGGTGAGCACAGTCCCACTGTCACTGCGTGCTCTTCCCCTACTGCTTGCACTGCTTCGCTGTCGTCGTCATGGCTACCCCTAGTGTCCTAGCTTTTGACGCTGAGGGTCGCGCCATTGCCTTTGAGGTCTGGGTAGACGACCTGCAGTTGTTTTTACAGTGCGATAGGGCAGACGGCCTCTCTCTCTTTGACCTTACCTCTGGCGCCTCTCCTGCTCCTGCTGCTGATGCTGATCCCACTGTGCGCTCTCAGTGGGCCACCCGCGATGCTGCTGCACATCTTGCTGTGCGTCGCCACCTCCCTACCTCTGAGCGCGCGCACTTTAGTCAGTACAAGAGTGCTCAGACCTTGTACGACGCTGTAGTTGCGCGCTACTCCTCCCCTGCCACTGCTGCACTGAGCCGTCTCATGCTTCCCTACCTCTTTCCTGACCTCTCTGCCTTTCCCACTGTCGCTGACCTCATTACGCACCTCCGCACTAGTGACACTCGCTACCGCGCCGCCCTTCCTACTGAGTTCTGCGCTAAGAACCCCCCCCCCATGTACATCACTCTCTACTACGTAGTCGCACGCCTCCCTGACTCCCTTCGCGTAGTCAGGGACCACTTTCTCGCAGTCTGTCCCACCACCCTCACCGTCGACGTCCTCGAGAAGGCCCTCCTAGCAGCGGAGAAGAGCATAGTCGCTGTAGGAGCTTCTCGTGGAGACCCTTGCACCCCCATCTTTGAGGGGTGCACTCCTTCCCCCTTGCTGCCCTCTGTTGCCTCTGCTGCTGCTGCCGACCTGCTTGGTCTTGAGTCGGTCGGCGCGGCGTCTGCCCCTAGTGGGAGACGCCGCTCTGGCAAGGGCAAGGGGGGCAAGGGTGCGGGTGGAGCTGGAGGGGGCGGTGGCGGTGGCGGCGGAGGCGGCGGAGGGAGTGGGGGTGGCGGCGGGAGTGGTGGCGGGGGTGGTGGTGGTGGTGGCAGCAGCTGCGGAGGCGGCGGTGGTGGTGGCAGCGGTGGTGGTGGTGGCAGCGGCGGAGGTGGAGGCGGCGGAGGAGGCAGCGGAGGAGGCGGTGGAGGTGGAGGGGGTGGAGCTGGTCGGGGTGGTACCCAGCAGCGGAGCGGCGGTGGTGGTGCCCAGCGCTCGCAGCAGCAGCAGCAGCAGCGTTCGCGGGACATCCCTCCGCCTCAGCAGCTTCGTGAGTGGTACACTCAGCGTCAGAGGGGTGGGGGTACTGGTCCTTGCACCTACGTCCTTCGTTCCGGCGACCGCGCGGGTGAGCAGTGTGGGGGTGCCCACCCCACTCAGCGCTGTTTTGGCCGCCTGACGGACGCTTGGCGTCAGCAGTTCCCCGGGGCTAGTGAGATCCCTCGCTGGGATGAGCTTCTTAGGGCTGGTGTAGCGATCTTTGATCTTGATTTTGATGCTATCCTTGCTGCTATGTATGCTGTGACTATTAGTGAGGAGACTGAGGGTTACCGGTGTTTCCAGCCCGACCCGGGCATTGGTACTGCTGCGCTAGGTGCTTGTGAGGCTGCTGCTCTAGGTGCCAGTGCGTCTGCGCTCTCAGGTACTGGTGAGACTGCGCTCTCAGGTACTGCATCGCCCTCGTCCTCCCTTACTTTCACACTTGACTCTGGGGCTTCTCGCTCCTTCTTTCGAGACCGCACCACCCTTACGCCGCTTGGCCGGCCGGTTGCCGTCTCCCTGGCTGACCCCTCTGGGGGTCCTGTCCTCTCTCACTTCTCCACTGTCCTCCCGTGTCCGGCTGCCCCTTCGGGCACCCTGTCTGGTCTGTACCTTCCCTCGTTCTCTACGAACTTGGTGAGTGGCGCGGACCTGCAGGATGTGGGGGTTCACCAGTTCACTCCTGCGAGTCAGCGGGTGACCCACTGCACGGAGGCACGCACAGGCCGACACCTGGCCACGTTCTCGCGTCGGCCGGGGTCGAGTCTCTACACCCTGACCGTTGAGTCTCCTCCTGTCCCTGCGTCTGGTCAGGTGGCTGCGTCAGGTCAGGTGCTTGCTGCTGCGTCCCGGTCAGGTCCTGAGTCTGCCCCCTGTTCTTGTCGCCTCCTGTCTCACGAGACTCTCCTTTGGCACCACCGTCTTGGTCACCCCTCCTTGCCCCGTCTTCGGAGCATGGCTTCCCGTGTCCTTGTC